AGGACTCTGGAGAAAATGCCTTTGTGGGCTCCGGGCTTATGGAGAGGCATTCAGGTTGAACTCAGTTGGTCCATAAAGTATGTGGGGATGTGCACGCTAAGGGCACTGGAAGAGATGTCTTCATAGGGTCAATGCAATGGGTAACTTACCCACTAGGGGCAGGACTCCTGCAGAAGTTCAAAGGCATGCCACGTTTTCTAGGACTTCAGCTGGCTACATATTATGGCCTGTTCTTTTGCACATTTTTAAACTGAACGGCAAATTACAGCAGGGAAAATTCAGAGCTCAAATGCCCAACCTGCAACTAAAATGCAGTTTTCTAAAGCTATCTTTTCTTTTTTCTTTTCAGCCTGCTTTGAATTTGCTGTTATTAAGGTACTGCTGTTAAGATAAAACTGTTTATGATACTACTAATTCAAGGTTACTTGGAGATTTGTTCTTATATAGTTCAGCCAGTTGTAGCTAAAATGTAAACACTGAAAACTCATTTGAAATTGCAGGGGGAAAAAAAGCAAAATGTTTTTAAAAATAAAACTGCCATGAAAACTACTTTTCCCAAGATTTTGGCCCACAGCCTTCATTGGATTACCTATTGGGGCAAATAAAGCTTAGCCCTGTGAACAGGTCCCAATTTTGTCAGACATAATTTGGATCCAGCTGTCCTTTGTAAAGAGGCGAGTTTGTGTTACTGTGTCATGGCTAAGGATCCAAGGTAAAAGCTGTAAAATCTTCGTGTGTATGTGTTTAAATGTTTATATATGTACATGTATTATGTTGTGCTGTATCTAGCATAGTACCAAACTGGCTTGTAAGTAAATTATACTCATAAACTAAGTCCAAATACTTTTTTCAGATTCATGTAAATTTAGTAATCTGGTAAATAAAAATGGTTTAAAAATTATTGGTAAAATAAAAATAGAAATGTCTTCAGAATAGTCAGCATACATTTCATTTTTTGGTCTGGGTTTACTGATTATATTTGCCTCTGCTAGATGTTTTAAGGTGTCAGGGTTTGGCACAAAAGGTTATAAGACTATAAACCCAGCCAAAAAGAGAATGCTCTTTGTGTGTGTGTGTGTGTGTGTGTGTGTGTGTGTGTGTGTGTGTGTTCGTTTGACAAATAAGACTAATTTAATATTGTTGGTTCAATGAAAACAGCTAAGTCTTCTGAGTTACTGGCAAAAATATCCACATATTTAACACTAAGTTTCTTTCTTAACTGAACATCTGATATTCACAGGCTACGAAAATGGTTAACAGGGCATACAGATTACTAAACAGCTGACTCATCACATAGAACTTACAGAAAAGTCACTTTTGTAACCTTGCTTTTTGGTTCTTATGTTGCGCAAAAGGTTTTTAAGGGTTAATGAGCAGCTGTTCACCTCCATCTTCATCTGGTCTAGAATGTTTAATTGGCTCAACGGACCATAAGGATCCCACCAAAGAACAGAATGAAGCTGGGGCAGGTAGCCACACCACTCTGGCAATGATATGGGATAAAATAAATGTTTGGTCAACAATGTTGTCTGTGGCACACCTTGGATAAAAGGAAAGAACATAAACTCAGCCTCCCAAAGTGCTGGGATTACAGGCATGAGCCACCATCCCTGGCCGGAAACACATTTCTAAAAATTGTGGAGTGATTCTCATCTGTAAAGTGCTGATAGAGAATAGATAATTCAATACTGCTTGCTTCCTAGGTTTCCACTAAAATTTAAGGTTACTAAGAATTTTAGTGAATATAGAATTCTATATATAAAATGTGCCAAATAAATTTATTCTTATTGAGAAAAAGAATAATTTTGTTTAATTTGGATGTCATTTAAAGGATATTTATGAAAGAAGGTAGAAAACCAGTAAGTAGGAGAGATGTGAAAAGTTACAGATATAAAGATGTATATTTGGTGAGGAAGGTTAAAAAGAGAATAATTTCATATACGAGAGGGTTTTGCATGGTATATTTTTGTCCTAAAGTAAAATGACTGGTTATTAAGGAAATGGGAAATTTATTAGAAATCAGAAAGCACAAGCATGTCATAGATGCTCTATGTGATAAGGTTTGTAAAAGGATATTTATGAAAAGCATTTTGTGTGGCATTAAGTTGGCTATCATTAAAATTATAAAAGTCTAAATTTTGGTACCTTATTTTAAAACACAGTTGTCTTAAAATATTGATTTAATCTTAATACAATTAAAAGAGGCCTTGATTTTTAATTCTAAACCTGTTTCTTGTTGAAAACAGACTCTTACCTTGGAAGTTCAGCTTTTGCCGTGTCTTGCTACTTTGTTTTTTTCTCCCTTTGGGAAGGCCTGAGATGATAATTTTCCCCTTCAACTGTTTTGCCAGCTCCTGTAACGTTTTTCCTCTGGTTCTAACTGCTATTGTGGCCTGATGCTAAAATATTTTATCTTGAAGGTCTAGAAAAACAGTGTTTTCCTACAGTATAACTTGATTCTGTAATCTTGGCTTTTCCTGATGTCTGAATTGTTCCATGTGACCACAAAACTTCCCATGCTGTTACTAAGAGTCATGTGTTCTGCCGCTCAAGGTACAGTTTTCTAGTTTCCTGTTTCCTCTATAATAAAATGTTCATTCATGACCCCAGACACACTCTTCCTGTATCTGATTAATTCAAGTAGCTTTTTCCAGTTTGACTTCTAAGTCATCTAAATGTGCTTCTCATAGGAGAAGCAACCACACTGTTCTTTGTCTTTTTGGCAACTGGCCTAAGAACCAAAGATTTTACATTTTATCAAGATAATGCCCATGTTTTCTTTATTAGATTTTTGATTACTTAGGAAAACTGAGTTTTAAAAGGGTTAAGATTTTTATATCCATGTGACTTTCTATATTGTGTTTAAAGTCTTTTGATTATTACTTAAACATTACAATGACCTGTAATTCCATTTTGATCAAATATGCTTTGAACCTCTGAAAATCTTTGACAAATGTCCTCAAAATCAAATAAACATTACTGATTCTTCATGTTTTGTTTTTCAGAGTCAATAAAACCTTTTTTCTTTTAAACTAGTTACAGCTTACAGAAATTGGGTAAAACAATAAAGATTACCTTTCTCTCTACCTAATACCTCTAAAATGTGAGAACTATTCAATCCCCCTAGGCCAATCTGCTTTCCATTGCCGAGACACTGCTGCTAAGTAAAGCAATACAAGATCAAACACCCTCCCAGTGGGCCCAGGGAGTATCACAGAAGAGGTGGGCACATGAGATTGTAAGGGCCAGTTTCAAGGGATAAAATTAACTTGGACCCTCCAAATTAAAGATAGGCATACAGATTACTAAACAGCTGGTGGCTGAGCACATAGAACTTATAGACAAGTCACTTTTGTACCCTTGCTTTTTGGTTCTTATGTTGCTCAAAAGGTTTTTAAGCGTTAATGAGTGCCTGTTCACCTCCATCCTTATCTGGCCTAGAACGTTTAATTAGCTATATAAGGCCCCTGGCCATAAGGATCCCACCAAAGAACAGAATGAGCCTGGGGCAGGTAACCACACCACCCTGGCAGTGATATGACACAAAATAAATGTTTGGTCATCTTGTCTCTGGCATATCTTGGCTAAAAGGGAAGAATGTAAACTAAAAATAATATCCTAAGACTCTCCCCCAACAGATTGAATGGAACCCCCCTCTTAGCCAAGGGGACCCCAGAAAATTCTTAAAAATGGAGTTCCCGGTCAGGCACAGTGGCTCACGTCTGTAATGCCAGCACTTTGGGAGGGTGAGGCAGGCAGATCACGAGGTCAAGGGATTGAGACCATCCTGGCCAATATGATGAAACCCCCATCTCTACTAAAAACACAAAACTTAGCTGGACGTGGTGGCATGCCTATAGTCCCAGCTACCTGGGATGCTAAGGCAAGAGAATTGCTTGAACCCAGGAGGCAGAGGTTGCAGTGAGCCGAGATTGCACCACTGCACTTAAGCCTGGTGACAGAGCGAGACTGTCTCAAACAAACAAAAAACAGCAAAAAAAAAAAAAAAGAAAAAGAAAAAAAAGAGAGTTCCCAGCCAGGGAGGTTAGACATACCTCATTATACTCCCCTCCCTTTTCTGGTTTACAGACAACTGACCAGCATTCAAGTTAAAACAGAGATCCTAAGACTGACAGAACAGTTCTTTGTGGCAACAACGTAACAAATTATAGACAGACCTTAATGCCAGGAGGGTAAGTCAGGCACCCCTATGCTTAAAGAATAAACTGTGTTCTAACTGCCACAAAGTTTCTCTTTTTCTCTAGCAGCTAAACAAGCAGTGGCCTCATGCTAAAACAATACTAAAACACTTGCAGCGCCACCAGATTGCTGACTAACTGAACTCCACAGCCTTTAACTACAGCTTTGACTGGACAAGAGTGATTTCAGTAACTTTCTCCTGTTAAGCCCACCGACCATGGACTGGTTCTAGTGGGTTTACAGATTGCATACTTGAGTGCCTTCCTGTCCTGAAAAACCTTTTGATGTACTGGGCCTGACTGTAATATTAAATGTCAAGTCTTCCCTGTAGATGAACACGGGTCACACGTAACACGCATGCCTCAGGACCACCTTAGCCAACTGGTTCAGCATAAGCTCCTAACCCAACCCCTCCTCCTTTGAAGTGCCTGTCTCTGGGCTTCTGTGGGAGGAGGCTGTGCTTCCCAGCCTACAAGATGGCCACCTGGCAGGATTTAATCCTTAAGAATAGTTTCCTCTCTCCTTTTCCAAGCTTACAGATTTGTTATTTTAAAAAGTTAACATGGCTTACTCCATTGGGAGTGTTACTTAAATGAATTGATTTTAAACCTCAAACAAACATACCAATTACCATATATATAGTAAAAGTGAAGTCTATAAGGGTAAAGCAGTTTCTCTGAGTTTCCACAGTGAGTGAAGGCTCTTCAAAGTGCCATGCCACTCAGCAGCTTCGGATGTACTGCAAGTGGAGTTCTCCCTCAGGAGAGACTGTGCCCATCTCACTTCTGCCCACTTGATACAATGGTTTGGGATTATTTCTCCCCTCTTTCCACAAAAGAACATCAGGAGTGGACTGCTATGTTTCTGTCTCACTTTGCATGGGTCTCATTCCTCAGCTTTTTCTGGTAAAAGGAACTTATTCTCGGAGGTGATCACATTCTATTCTATTCATCTCTAGGACACAAGCCACAGGAACTCAGTGTTGACGAAGATGGTTCTTGAGTGTTGCTAAAGCTACAGAAATGACAGGATGGACTCAGGAGAGCTGCTGTGGATTTTTTCTTTTTTCAGCTCTCAGACGTTCCCAGGTGGGGCTGGGGTATTTTACCATCTGGCTTCAGAAATGCCCTAAGCCCTTTTACCCCTACCATCTGCCAACTTCTGTCAACACAAACTGATAAGAAAAGGAACATTTTTTAGCCTAGAATTCTTACTATGGCAGAGACAGAGAAAAGTCATGCATATAATACATAGGATTGTTAAGACCTGCCAGGGATTCACCCTCTGCCTCTGAGCAGGGCTGTTTGTAACACGAGCAGGAAGGCTACCAGAGAAGGGAGAGAGAAATCTGTTTCTGTTCTCAAAATCTCCAGAGGAGATCCCTCAGCCAAGCATGGAGAGTCTTAACCCTCGTAACAGACACAGCATCCCTGAAACAAACAACAAAAGCAATGTGGCCACGTGGAGTATGTGTGTAATTCTTTGACGATGTGATTGATCTTGCCCCAGTTTGGCCTCACTTAATCAAACTCGAATCCAACAGCTTGGAATGCAATTTCAAAATTCTGAGCAGTGACAAGTATCTCACACATGCTACCTTTTGTGATTTCCTGGCCAAGCTGTTATCTGCAGTTATTTTCAAGAATAGAGTTCTTTTCTTATTTCTGAATGGGGAATTACACAGAGGCTTGATTTTGGCCACAGTGGAGGCATGGAGGTTCAACATAAGGAGCAGCATAATTTGCTATCACCTACATTTGATTGATTTCTGGTTTAAACAGCAAGGCATGCACATAATCCAGAGATGATGAAACTCTCTCTGGGCAGTCTGCTTTCACCCTTACCCTCCTTGAAACAGTCAGAGCACTTATATGCATCCCCTAAAAATAACAACTCCAAGCACATTAGTGAAATAGATGGTTGCACTGAATACTCTGGGTAGATGAAAATTCACTCAACCCACACAGGGTAACAAGACTAGAATGCTCATGGACATTTGTGCTTCCCCGAACCCCTCAAGCTGCCCTCCCCTGCAGCTGCCCATCGGTGTTGCCTTCACCCACCTCCATCTCTAAAACTCTGCCCTTATTTAAAGATCTTTATTAACATCAAAGCCAGTAACCAGTCAGAACACCTCCCCTACCACCAAGTTCCCCTAGGGTGCCATCTTCCTTCTCTCATCTTGGTGCCACTGCAATCCCTCAAGCAGTTCATCAAAGTATTTATCCAACAAACTAGATCTGTTCCTAAGGGGAATTCTGCTGCAAAATAAATTTTAGTTTTCATCCTGTTTTGCCAAGCTATTAATATATGCTGTTAGCAGTATGTGCTCATTAATCTTAACAACCCTGTGAGGGCTGTTGTAATTCCCAGCATACTGAAAGGAAACAGGAAGGGGCTTAGAGAAATTCAGATTTACCCATGCTAAGACCCCCATTCCAGGTCTACCAGTATCCTTACCCACACAAGCTGCAGTGCAAAGGTGGGGGGACCTGGGAAATGTAAAACGGGAGGCTGTGGATAGGGCCTGGGTCTGGAGCTGCTTTCTCAACACTCCAAGCAGCAACTGTTCCCATATTTAATTAGCTCCTCAGTTCCCTTTGGCTGAGAAGGCCGTGTCTTCTCCTGGGCCATCCTGACCACAGATAAAATACAAGTGATTTATTTTGTTGCTTACAAAGGTTAAGGGACTTGCGAACGCCACATAACTGTTAAATGCTGTTGACACATGGATTTAATAAACCTAAAAGTATCTTAACATCCAGGTCGCTCTCTGAAGCACTATGCCATTGTGCCTCTTGAAAGGAAGTCTCGTCTTGGGTTGTTTAAATGAAGGAACATTTCTTTCCTTTCCAAAATGACTGCAGAAAGCCAACACTGTCTAAGCAGGGATGGCAAAACCGTCTCTACTAAAAATACAAAAATTAGACAGGTGTGGTGGTACATGCCTGTAGTCCCAGCTACTCAGGAGGCTGGGCAGGAGAATTGCTTGAACCTGGCCAGCAGAGGTTGCAATGAGCTGAGAGAGTGCCACTGCACTGCAGCCTCGGTGATAGAGTGAAACTGTCTCAAAAAAAAAAAAAAAAAAAAAAAAAAAGGTAGTGATTTTACATACCAATAATGAACTAATTGAAAATGAAATCCAGATAGCAATTCCATTTACAACAGCTACCAAAAAAAAATTAAATAACTAGGAATAAATTTAACCAAAGTAGTAAAAGACCTCTGTGAGGAAAACTACAAAATACTGATGGAAAAAAGTGAAGAGGACAGGAACAAATGCAAGACATACCACGCTTATAAACTGGAAGAATGTGTATTGTTAAAATGACCATACTATTCAAAGCAATCTACAGATTCAATACAATCCCTAACAAAACACCAATGACTATTTCACAGTAATGACTATTTCACAGAAAATAAACCTAAAATTGGTAAGGAAACCAGAATCCAAATCGCCAAAGAATTCCTGAGCAAAAAGAACAAAGCTAAAGGCATCATACTGCCCAACTTCAAACTACATTGCAAGACTGTGGTAACCAAAACAGCATGGTATTGGTATTAAAACAGACACATAGAGCAATGGAACAGAATAAAGAACTCATAAATAAA